AACCCTATTCCTTCCTTCAACATTCCGTACACTTCTAGACCCTCCTTATGCTTGGTTTCTTTCCTTAGATTATGTTCTTCTCTCTCGGCACAAGCAACAGATATCTTCTCCTTGAACCCCTGTAGACCCTCCGTTTCCAGCGTTTCATCTTCGTCGATGTCGAGCCCCTTCCATACGTCCTCTACAACCTTGACCCATTCCGTGGGTTGTCTACCCCTCTTTTTGTTTGCCCACTTCGCCTCCCATACAATTCTCGGCAACCTCTCCTCTCCCATCCCGCACATGCGATACTGCCATGTCAGCTTCCTCGCTTCTCTTCCCGATCGTAGGGACTGGATCCCGAATTCTGCCCTGACGGCTGCATTGCTTGTGCGCTTGGAGCATCCTAGGATGATTTTCGCTGCTTTCATCTGCGCCGCCTCGAGTTCTTTCACTACCTTCTTATTTCCTTCCCATACTTCTCCGGCTGTAGACATGGGTGGCAGAATCGCGCGCGACGAAAACAAAACCGACCCGACCTTGTCCTCGCATGCAGCAAAGCCAAACAGACAATTCTCACCTGGGTAATGATTTGTGCCGTGACTGGGAACGCCATGCCGAGACGTGAGGAAATTTCCATTCCAAGAGGGTAGAAGAATCGACGAAATTGTCGGGAAATTTATCCATCCCAAGTGGTGGCGGAGGTGACCAGGGAAACAACAAAGACACGTGACAACGGAGTGAAAATCGGGACATCAGAAACCACCACAACGGCTGTTTTGCGAGAAAACATTCATGTTCGTGGCCAGGAGAGGGGGGCCCTGCATGTTCATGTTCACGTTCATGTTCAGATAGACGGGGGAGAGCCTGAGCAGACGGCCTCAAGGCAAAAGCTGGCATGTACACGTTACAGATGCAAAACCCTCCGTGTGATACTACCAAGAGTTGAATTTTTGTTTCACAACGACCCCCCAGCTAGCCCAAGCTCCGTCGCCACAACTGCCACCAACACGACGTGTCCAGAAACCTCGAGCGCCTCCAATGCCGCTATCGCCTGCCTGCTCACCCACGAAGATCATGCCTCCCTGCAATAACCGCCCCAAGCCCTCGCGTCCGCAGCTGTCCCCACCCGAAGCATCATTCCCTCNTTCCCCCCCCCCCCCCCGACCCCCGACCGTCCTGCTGTTCGCGCGCCAGCGCCGTTGGCGGCAAGGTGTTTGGAAGAGCGACCGTGCGACGATGCGGACATCGGAGCGGCGTCCTCCTGGGATCCCCTGTCTGTGATCCCTTGCCACATCTGGGCGATCCTGCGTGGCGGCGACTTCCCGTTCCACAAGGCATCCTGTGGGGTGGCGTGGCGTGCGCACGAGCGACGGTTACAAATAGATTTCTGGCACTCCGGCAACACTCAGATTTCTGACATTCGGGCAACACCTTGTCTACAATAGTCCTCGGGACGATCGAGAGCACAGCACAGCATCAAGAGGGCCAAAGCAAGGGTGCAACACAGAGGAGTGAAAACGACACCTACTTGCTGAGAGACGTCGGAACAAAATAAAACAAAACGGTGGTGCATTACCTTCGAGCAACGGCAAACAATTACATAAAAAAAAATTTTTGGATCTTTCGGTTTACTCGATTTTAGTATACCCCTTGGCCAGGCATCAAGTAATTGAATTTTCGATCATTATTTTCACTGATTTTGGTACCCCTTGGCCAGACATTCTTGATTGATTTTGGGATCACTAGTTTTACTTGATTTAGTATACCCCTTGGCCAGACCGATGACAACGACCGCCGCCTCACCAGAGTGAAGCAGAGTATCAAGACGGCGAGGATGACGGAAACAACCGCCCGGACGGCGTTGCCGACCGTGCACTGCGACCGAGCCACCTCGCACTCGCCTCCCTCCGTCTCAACGAACCCCGAAGCGCACTCGGAGCAGGCTGTGGCGAAACAACGGCAAAGGGTCAAGGCGGGGTGGGAGGGGGGGGGG